ATTTAGTCTAATAATTGGACCGGATTACAGAAAACTAACTTTTCTTTGATACAATTCAGGTTGCTTCTGCTGCTTCTCTTGCTGTTTCTATTTGAAATATATGTTTAGCTTGGCTTAGATTTAACTTGATTATTTATTATATGCGCTTTGACATTTGTAAAAGTCTTAGAGTCTATGTTCTTAGGCATGCAATTTCGATATACCCATATGCATATTCAAAGGCTAAGCAAACGAGTATAAACACTTGTGTTACTTGAGCTCTTGAGTACCTCGAGAGGAGGCGTGTTTAGTTTTATGAACTTATGTTCGTGTAAGAGCAAAGCTTAACAAAGTACTCGTAGAGGGATCTCTGTATCTCACTCATCTGAGTACAGCTTAAGTTCCTGTTGATCTGTCGAACTGCTTAGAGTATTCCCGACCATTGCAATGCATTAAATAGATGCTCAGAACAAGAGCACAGAGACCATAAAGCGCTTTAGCTAATATATTGAAGTGCTGCAGAGATCGCTGTCGCTCATCCAATATTTAGTATATGTCTAATGCATATAAAAGGGATAAATGCCCTTCATCAATCAAATTCTCTTTTACTTATCTCAACACTTCAGTCAGTCAATGTTTGAGTCTATTCTTGTTTGATTGCATGGTCTAGGCCTATTCTAGCCAAAATGTAATGCGTTGACAAAATTCAATGAAATCGTATAGCAATGATCACAATATCAGCTGAGTTCTAGCTACAGGGTATCTTTAGGTCTTTGACTATCAGCAGGTTGTTAGCACTCTCTTTGGCTTGGGAATAAATTCAAACGCAGGAGTCGCTTAAACAAATTTCCATTTCATTAAGCGCTCACCTCTATCTACAGGGTATCTTCAAGTCAGGCACTGCCTGCTGTTTGCTTGTCTTTTCTTTTTCAGAGTTTGCCGTTTCGTGACTTTCTGAAGTTTTCGCGCTTTGCTTTCGTTTTCATTTCAGTTTTTCGTTGACTGACTGACTGACTGACGGACTGACTGGCTGACTGAATGAATAAATGAATGAATGATTGATGAGCAGACACTCACTCGATGAAAGCGTTGCGCGATTTGTGTTCGTCTGCCTCTTCAGTTGCTTTCATCAGTGCCAAGCATGAAATTGGTTTTGTTTCTGTTTCTGTTTTCGTTGCCACTTTCAGCAAAAGCCAAAAGCAACGGCCGCTCATTTGCTTCGGGCCAACGGCAAAATGCAAAGAAAATTGTAACTGAAACAATTTATAATTATTCTCTTTTGTCTTGCTTTCATTTCCATTCAATTCAGCGTGAATATTGAATAATTGTTGTGCAATAACAATAATAATAATAATAATCATACAATAATCATGCAATGCAAACAGCTAATCGAACTTTCAGTTTATATATTAGAATTAACTGTAGCCACCCACACATAGGTTAACTGTTATTCCTATTGGTTAGCTTGAATGTGCTTTGAGCCAATCAATTGTTGGCCAGCCTTGGCTCACGTTTCCATAGGTGTTATTTCTGTTTACTGATTCGCTTGATAATGACTCTACCTGCTGCCTTTTCATTTTGCCGTTGCTTTTCCTTTGGCCAGCGGCAAATGCAGGCAATTGCGCAAAGCAGAGAACTAGTCGATATTACATAGAAGACAATGCCAGAAAGAAATATGTACCTCACATGTCAGACGAGCTTACAGATACCCCTTAACTCTAATTTGTCGATATATATTTGTTTTACGATATTTTCATAATAATATATTTAATTATTATCTAGATATTGATGGGTCTACATACCTATATCATCTATCTAGCCTTTAATAATAATAATGAAATACATATAATAATAATAATATAATGTAATACATGAAATAATTATAATAATAAATAATATTAAGGTCTGCCAACTGTCTTTCGACTACCTTCGGTATCTCGTAAAAATACAGGGTATTCAGCTGGAAAAAACCGTGCTGTGCACGCCTTAAATCGGGCATGGCCGTCCATGAAACGCTCCAACGAGCTGATCAAATAAATAATAAAGTAATTTATACCTAATACACGATATATCGATGCCACAAGCCAAAATCTGTTTGACCCAATTTGTGGTCGGCGCTATCGAAAATCATCAAACCGCCGGCCGGGCAGCCCCCACAGTCGTCACACAAGTGTAGCAAAAAACTTCGCTACTCTGGCCGGGCTACCCGAATCTGAATCCCAAACCAACCCGAAACATGCCCAGACAACGGCCAATTACACTTAACAAACTCATTATGTTCCGTTTTCCAGGCAACAAAGAAAAAGCCAACAGCGGGTGTCAATATGCAAGGCAACTGCCAAACACAAGTAGACGACTAGGTTATACCCTAGATAAAAAAAAAAACTTGAGTCAAATTTCATTTGCAGAGGAAACTTTTTTCGACTCAGGCAATATGCAGAGCACAAAATAATAATTGCCAATAGTCGGGTATAGCTGCTCTTCAATGTGTACAGGGTATACAACAACAGCAATAATATAGAAAAAGGCCAGCGAAATACCGTTAGCATTGCATGCAGTGAAAATTTGACTTCATGTTGAAATAAATTCACAGTCAAGCGGCCAACAGCAGCAATTGCCCATATTGTATGTATGAAAGGCGGCTCGTGCTGGATTGCCGGCAGTTGGTGGCGGTGGCGGTGGCGGGGAGGGGTGTGGCAAGCCGTGCATGTGCTGTGGGAGGGTCGGAGGCTAGCTGGATTGGCTCGGCTGCCAGGCTGACAGGCAACATGGCTAGAACAAAATTTATGCCAGCTGCCAGCTGCTTACATTATTATCGACTTTTATCGAGGCGACATTTGACTGCTCAACGGCAGCTAACAATAACAGCGCCAGACAATAAAAGCAACAGCAACAGCAGCAACAACAACTACAAATTTGAATGCAACCACTGAAGCTAAATGTAATTGAGCCGAGCGCCAACGAGTGGCGGCACGAGTGGTGCAGCGCTTAGATCGAACAGCTGATAGCAGCCAAATATTTTGCTCTCTTAAGAATTTTGCATGCTACATTTTTCCACATGTTGCAAGCCAGCTGCCAACGATGACAGCTGACTGATGTATGCAGCGTACCATTTGTGAAACTAATCGATATGTGTCTGTGCTATCGATATGCCGATCTTTTGCATAGCGAACATAAAGTTCATAAACAATTATGAACTTTCAACTGTGATCGTTGCGAAAAAGCATCCCTGATGAGCGACAAATATTCAAATAAAAATGCAAACAATGCAAAAAATTCTTTCATTTTGCTATGATCATAAGCTAATTTAGATGTGTGATATATCTAGTAAATATAATTCTATATTTTCGTCTTGCATACGTATGGAATTGTGTTTTTGAGGGAGCCCAGAGAATGCGAAGAGTGATAAATAAATAAGACAGACATGAATGAACTGCATGCATATGTATGTGTGTATGTATATGTACAGTGTATAAACATATATATGTACATACATATTATGTATGTATGTATGTAAGCATGTATGTATTTCGGCTGAGAAGCTTTTAAGCGCGCTAATAATGAGCTCTTATATGCATATGTAAATGTATGATATGTTCATATATGTATATTACTATATGTATATGTATATCTATTTGTACATACATATATGAATACGTACATATGTATATCCATTATATAGGTATAAGTAAATCTATATGTATGTATATGTGTGTTTGTATGTATATCAATATGTATATGTGTGTGTATATGTATGTATATCTATATGTACATATATGTATATGTATATATATGTATATGTATATGCATATCTATATGTACATATGTATATGCATTTCTATAACTATATGCATATGTGAATGTATGTCTGCATGTACATACATATATGTATGTGTATCTATATGTACATTCATATATGTGTATGCATATAGACATACTTACATATGTATGTGTGTGGATCAAACATCCAGCAAATACGAAGTTGAGTGGAAACTCCTGCACAAGTTTATTCTAGAAGCTTAAGTACAGAGTGCTCAAATGTAATTTATTTATTCATACAAATTTCTGGTACATACATACATATATATATCAATTTATGCATACATATGTAGCTTACATTTGTTTCTTTACTTAAAGTAGTTTCGAATCCTTGAGAAGAATACTGACTAGATCTAAAGCACTAGGCCTTTTGCTTGGGAGAGTAGCCGAGTGGGGCATTATAATATGCATATGTATATGTATATAGATATGCATATATGCATGTATGTACATAGATGTTTAGCTATTATAATAACACTTCTAAATCATCGTATATGTATGTATATATATAGGTAACATAGTGTCTGCTCGTTATGGAGCCTATGATTGGATAATTTACATACATACATACATATGTATGTACATTGTACCTTATTTTATCTGAAGGGATATCATATTTACGTGTCTATTCCTATCGCTATAGAACCCATGCGCAGATTTTTGCTTACAATGAAATTAATTTTCGTGGCTTATGCAACTGCAGCTTGCATAATTTAGTGCAGGAATAGGATGAACAAGTCCAAAGTCTTTAAAATTTCTAGTTGAAGACGTCGCGACGTCTTCAATCCACTTGATAATTTCCGCGTCGCAAATGGCTGAGGCTCTTCCAATAAATGTTGCAGCTTTCGCTAGTTTCTCGACAACAGCAAATGCTAGCCCATCATCATCATCATCATCGTCATCATCGTCATCGGCATCATCGTCATCGTCATCTACCTACACATTTCGCCACTTAGCAATGACGGGGCAAACAAAGAAGTGCTGCCTGCTCGGGCGACGAGCCACTCGATGCTGAAGTCGATCTTCGAGTGGAAGCCCGCTGGCTCGAGTGGCCCATCGAAGAGCCGTTGAGAAGACGTTGCTCGCCTGCCTGCCGGAAGATGCATTGCAATTTTTTTTTGTTATTTTGTTTTTTTCTTGTTTTTGTTAGTTTTTAGTTTGTTTTATGTCGACTGTGTAACTCACTCAACTGTCTGTCTCTCTGTCCGTCTCGTTGCAGCCGAGTTTCCCGAGGAGGACAGTGACATGCTGATGGAGCCGAATGACTTTACGCCCATAACGGTGCTGCGCTCGCACGAGCAGCAGCATTTCCACATGCCGCCCACCACGCAGCTGCAGCAGCCGCACCATCGTCCAGTGGCTGTCACGCCCGCACAGAGCCGCCACTTTCAGGCGGTGCCCGTGGAGCAGCAGGAGCAGTTCCGTCCGATAGCCAATCCGAACACGCAGCTGATCTCCAGAGCCGATGTGACGCCCGGCCCGGGCGCCGACTCGCACAGCCAAGCGGCGCAGAACTTCTATCCGCCCTTCTACCACGAGGCGCCGCCACTGGGTCACTCGCGTCCCTATTTCGCCGGACCCGCTGGACCGGTGGCCGACAGTACGCCGCTGCAGCTGCCGCTGTTGACGCCGGCGCAGCAGCAGCAGCACCAGCACCAGCAGCAGCAGCAGCGCGGCTTTGATGCCGCCATACTGGGCAGCGGGGACTTTGGCGTGCTGCGCGGCGGCACCTTCTATCCGGAGGAGGAGATGCCCTACCATCCCGAGGACAACAGCGACTACATCTATGGCGATGCCAACAATGGCCATGGCCGGCCCAGCGAGTCCTTCATCCAGAAGTACACCTATCCGGAGGAGCAGTTCGCCAACTTCCGCGACTTTGCGGACATCAATACGCCCGCCGATTCGGCCTTCTCCCAGTTCGTGGTCGTCTATGCGGCCAAGAATGCGACCAAGCCCAGCAATCATCCGCATCCGAAGAACATATTCGAGCAGCTGGAGCTGCTCGATCGCGAGAAGGCGCTGGAGGAGGCGGCCCTCAAGAAGCAACAGCCCAGCAAATCCAAATCGAAGCTGTCCAAGACGAAGCTGCAGAAGAAGTACAAGAAAAAGCCAATTAGCAAGGAGCTCGAGCTGGAGCCGCTGCTGGCGCTCAGTTAAGCACTTCACTTAAGCTCTCTCCATCCACTCCCATCAGCTGGGATCGAATTTCAACTGCGAAATTTGCACACAATTTTGTCCGCTGTTCGCTGTGTGCTTCATTAAATTTTCTTTTATTTATTTTTTGTTTGAGCAAAATGCAAATTTCAACTTTAAACACTTTACGAACTATACCCTACCCCCCTACACCCCCACACCCCTACTCCTGCTTCAGCGGCACTCTTCATCTTCTTGCCTTTCATTCATTTGTACACGTGCCCAGGTCCCCCTCCTCATCTTATGGATTGCAATAGTTCCGTTAGTTGTGTGTACTTATTATTATTATATTATTATTCTAATTATTATAATTATGATAAATGTAATTTTTTTTTACCTGTTTACTTGTTGCCTCACAGTTCGTGTTGCATAAATTGTTAATTCTACGTAATTTTAGCCCGTAGCCTACACGTATTTGTATTTGTATTTGTATGTGTTTAATCGTATTTTATGATGCGTATCGATTACTTAATTATTTTTTGTTTAATTAAACATAATTTTACATGTATTTGTATTGTGTGTGTACATAAAAAAAACAACAACAACCAGCTCTTAATTGTAATATTAATAATAAAAACTTAATAAAAAAAAATACTATACAACATCTATTATTTTTGGCAGGTGTGTAAAGGGGTTCTCTTTAATTTTTGCAAGTGGAGCAATTAAAAACAAAATAAAAACACTATTCATTAAAAATATATATATTAAAATAATAGATAAACTCCGTTGAATATTCGATATTAGGCTGAAATTTCGATAAGTTTTCAAAATTGCATTCACACATTTCGCACACAAAAGATAATTTGCATTGAATGGCAAATCTTATTGCAAAATGTTATCGATAATATATGGAGCTGCCAAAAATATAATTATCGCAAAGTCTGCCATTCGTACTTCCTCTCTCTCTAGAACTACATGCACAGCTGAACGTACTTTTGCCGAGACAAGGTGAATTAAAAATCTGCAATTCATGTATTTATATAAAATAATCGGCGTGAAATATTAAACACCAAATAAAATTCTACGCAATTAAAAGAGAAGTGTGATATTATCGAATTGAAAGTCTTGAATATTGAATAATAAAACGAGTGTAGCCAGCATGTGCTTTTAATAAATTGTAAGTACGTACATACAGATATACAGATATATATATAATTTAACAAAAATTTGGCCAAGTTTCAGTGTCATTTGCGCAAATACAACAAGAGTACGGTGACTTTAGTGGCACACTGTACATAGGTATATTTGGCAAAAATATCATTGATCAAACTAAATTCTATGCAATTAAAATAGAAATATTATCCTATAGGGCATACGAAATAAAAGACAAGTCGAGCGAAGCCGGCGCATGGTTTTGATGAATTCTAGGTATGTATGTACATGCACATACACAGATATACATACATATGTATGCATGTATAGTAAAGCAAACGAAGTATATACATACATATGTATGTACGTACATATAAGAACAAAGAAAATTCTGTGCGATTTAAAAAGAAATGTAATAGGGCTGAAAATTGAAAGACAAATCGAGTGAAGCCAGAGCGTGCTCTAAATAAATTCTAAGTATGTATGAATGTACATACATACATACATATGCACATGCCCACACTTGTACATACATACATACATACATATAGTAACAATAGGTGAAAGTCAAATAATACATTTTATATTGGGCTGCAAATCAAATAAAAATTAAGACAAATTATTCAAGTACGAGTGTAATTTGGGCGTGTTTTCATATTTATATTATGCACATATATATATGTACATACATACATGTGTACATACATTCATACATACACGTGTGTATTTATTCACTAGGCAAAAACACATATTAACGTTTTTACATACATATGTACATGCATACATATATACATACTTACATACATACATTGTGCATGCTACATACATGGCTATGTATATACATACGTTGTGCACATGTACAAACATACATACATAAGTACTTAAATGCGTGCATACACATACATACATATATACATTTATATATAATATAAATGCACAAACACATGCATAACTACTTACATACGTACATAAGCACACACGCGTATACCCCAACATACACATACATACATATGTATATAAGTGCACACATGTATAAAAGTACACACATATGTATATAAGTACTTACAAATATAAATACATATGTGCATACAAGCCTACAAACACACACACACACACACACACACACATGCATAAGCACATATGTATGTGCGTACATACCCACACATGCATATACATACCCACATATACACATATGATACATACACGCCTAGGTACTTACATACATATACTCATACATACAAGCATACCTACACACACACACACATATTATTAATGTTTATATACATGTACACCTCTACATATGTATATACCTACACACACATACATACATACATACATTGTGCATGCTACACACATGGTACATACCTACATACATACATAGCTATGTATATACATACGTTGTGCATATGTACAAACATACATACATAAGTACTTACATGCGTACATACACATGCGTACATACACATACATATGTACATATACATACATGCATACACATGCATAAGTACTTACATACGTACATAAGCACACACGCGTATACACCAACATACACACATACAAACCTACATACACACACACACACATGCATAAGCACATATGTATGTACGTACACAACCACGCATGCATATACATACCCACATATACACATATGTAGATACATACATGCCTAGGTACTTACATACATACCTTCATACATATACTCATACATACAAGCATACCTACACACATACACATATTAATGTTTGTATACATGTACACCTACATATGTATATACCAACATACACACATACATTCATACATTCATGCATATATAATAAAAATACGCGAACAAATATATGAAAGCCAACAAAAATTAAAAAAGATAATTCTGATATAAAAATGAAAAATGTTCAATGAAAATGAAAATCAATTAAAAGAATTACTGTACTCAAGTCCGCATGCAATTTGAGCCTGTTTATATTCATATACAACATTTTTAAAGTATAAATAAAGTTCGTATTTCTTTCCCAAAAACCTTAGTCTTTGGCTCGAAGCGTATTGAGTAGCGTTGTGAAGGAGCTCGCCGTGCGAAAGATCTACAAGGAGAGGAGCGCCTAGTCATTGCTTGATTCCATTACTGCGGCAATGCCAACTCACCCACACGAGCAGAGGTCTGCCCAGCCTGAAGAAGTAGGCGGCCAGTTGGGTCTCCTTCTGGGCGCGCTGCAGCGGCAGCAGCAGGAGCCGGCGCTGGTGCGGCGGCAACTCGTGCCAGGGTAGCAGCTGGTAGAGCTGATAGGCGAACTGCTGGCCCTCGTGGCGCACCTGCTCGGCGCCAAAGCCATAAATGCACAGCTGTGAGCTGACCACCAGCGAGAAGAAGCCGAGAAAGGCAAAGTTCTGATTCGTGTGCGGCATTATGTACTGGCAGATCACCGAGCAGTAGAGCACACAGATCAGCAGCACCTCCACACAGGCAATGTCGCGGAAGCCCGCCTCAAAGCGAGCCACCAACTCCAGCAGTCGGGCATGTTCTCTGAACAGCTGTTCCAGCCTCTGATCCAGCTCTCTCCCAGTTGACGACTGCATGCGTTCGCTCTGCAGCTCCAGTTCGAGGCGGCGATAATGGGCCGTCAGGCCGAAGACGAACCAACCATAGAGCGTGTCCACGGCTGTGGTGGAGCAGCAGAAGAATGTCAGCACCGGCACCATCAGGCAGCAGTCAAGGAAATAAATTACAGGATTCGTGACGTCGTAGGGTAAGCTGCAAGCGAAAATAACAGCTAAGTCGGAGGCATGTCTGTACAATGAATATGTCGAGAATTACTATAAGCATTTTGTTTCCAGTAATATGTGTTCCATTAATATAAGTGAGCAAAGGAAAAAAGGCACAGAGGGTAACAAATTAAAGATTAATACATTTGGGTTTCACTCAAGGCGAAACTAAGTACTATCTCAATCAAGTCAGCTCAGCTGCGTTATTAACTATTGATCTATAGATCAATAGATAACAACTCACTCACTCATTTTACTTTTTAAATATCATAAACGACATTAAGGGGCTTTAATGTTTATTTTCGAATTAAAACCCAAAATTAGAAGTTTCTAAACTAAGGCAAATATTGTAAAAGCTCAGAACGAATCTCTATAGATATTATAAAAATGATGTACTCAAATTAACGATATATCCACGATTCCATATATTAGGTAAGGTCCTAATTACTTCGGTATAGTTCTTTAGGTAGGTCCGGAAATATTAGAGTCCAGAGTTCTGTTAGCAGTTTCGTTAGGTTCTTATAAGTTGCAACGATATGTGGGTTTCTAGCAATTTGTTGAAAATTCTTAACGTGTATGTCCTGAAATATTAGAGTTCAGAGTTCTGTTAGTAGTTTGGTTAGGTTCTTAAGTATTACAGGCGAAAGATTTGCTAGAAAACGAGATAAGTCCTCGGTGTCAAAGCATTTTGATTCGGCGACTGAGCATTACAGCCGCAAGTTCT